GTTTCATCAACAATGATAGAAAACAAACAATTTTCTACTCGATGCAAAATTTCGTTCAAAATATATTTGTGTATACAGTCAATAATTTCATTCTGAACTAACGGACTTGTGTAGAATGCATTTTTTGATCCACGTTCAACATGTTCACGAAGAATTTCATCGCCGGAATCGATACGTTGTTTTAACAATGCAGTGAAATTTGAACCTGAATGAGAATCAATTACATTTATAGTTTTTCTTACATCATCTATTGTTTCGTCTCTGTGACCGCGGAGAGGAATATTTTGACGTGAACAAGTAATTATTATTTTTACAATTGATGCTAATATTGCTTTATTACGATTGATTTTCTCAATTCTGTCTTTATCAATTAACGATAAAATTGATAACGATGGATCTTTATATGTACGTATAAAATTATCGGTAGCAACTGTCGAATTCTGATGAAATTGTGAATTCATATGACTTTTCAATGAAGTAGTGAAATGTTTCAAATGTTTGTATCGGTGACAAGGTTTATCGACAAATAATTCTAATTTTTGCCCTTGTAAGTTACGAAATAATACACAATTTATGCAATAACTACCTTCAATATACGGTGAATAAACAAGAAATGAATTATCGATTAACCAATTGATCATGAATCGACGAGAATGTTTATGATCATCTGAACATAGCGTTGGAAATGAATATTTTCTATCGGGTTTAAAATGATTTGTTAATAAAGAATATTTCAAATGATCATCAATTGACAGTTTATTTGATACATGATAACCGATATCATTTGTATTGGTGTCGGGTGGAGAATTAGTCATTTTCAATTCATTACTTTCGACGCCAAAATTAACTTCGTCACTCAACTGATCTAAATCTTCAGGATCACTGGATAAAAACAAACTGGAATCATCATTAGTCGTTGTAGCTGCAATTGTAGTAGTGGCAGGTGTATTTGAATTTGGTGTTAAATTTTTAGTACCAGTACGTATTTTTTTGGAAGAAAAACTATAGTTTAATAACGTATTGGGTCGCTTTTCATTCGACATAGCTTAGTATATAGCTTATTATTGTCGATTCGATTCGAAAATGATAAGACAGTAGACTGAACGTATTATAAAAGTAGACACATACACATGGACGAGCAAGGAAAAAAATATGCATAAGTTAAAATACAAGAGCGATTCTTTTCTTCTGTATTTTCTTATTCTTCACAGAAAGAAGAAGCAAAGAGTGTATGTTGGATTCAGACGGAAGAAAAAAAATACATTTACTATCTAATTCGAAAATAAACAAATAATTCTGTCTACTCTTACATATATCTTACTAAACGTTATACGAAAAAAAATTCATGCGTATACCTCCCAAGTAAATTTCAATGGGCAAAAACTTACTAATAAAAATTACAATGGGCAAATCTCCAAATGAAATGGGCAATTGCCCATTTGGGGGCGGCGGGGGGGGGGGGGGGGGGGGTGGGGGGG